ACAGCCAGGAGACTGAGAGCGAGGAGAGACAGCCAGGAGAGAGAGGAGACACAGCCAGGGGAGAGAAAGGAGAGAAAGAGAGGAAAGAGCGGGGAAAGACAGCCAGGAGAGAGCGAGGAGAGACAGCCAGAGGAAGAGAGGGGAGACAGCCAGGAGAGAGCTCGAGAAGATACAGCCAGGAGAGAGAGCGAGGAGAGACAGCCATGGTGGAGAGATTAGAAATTTATGAACTGCCATAGCCCAGTCACAGCAGAGATCTACACCCATGCTGTGCATGAAGTGCGGCTGCATATGAGCAGGAACACCAGGCAGGGCCGCCATTAGAATCATGAGGCCCATGCAGACTTCCTGGCTGGGCCCATCCCCTATCCTCCCTAGTCAAGAATGCCCCCCCCCCTCCCCCCCCCGGTCACCTAAAGGAGAAGAATGAGGCGGCATACATAGAAAATTGTGAGTGTAGCAAAATTGCAGTGGGAGGGGTTTAAAACTTGAGCCTATGCATAGAGTGCAGGGATCATAAGTATGTAATGTTCATAGTGAACAGAATTCAGAGGTCAGAAGTATGTAATGCAGAGTTTAGACGTCAGGAGTAAGTAATTCAGAGTTCTGGGACCAGGAGTAAATAACACAGAGTCCAGAGGTCAGGATTAACTCACAGTTCAGAGGTCAGGAGTAAACAGTGCAGAGTTCGGAGGTCATGAATAAACAATGCAGAGTTTAGAGGTCAGGAGTAAATATTGCAGAGTTTGGAGCCACTGAGACTGGGGCACCGAGACTGCCAGACAAAGGCTGCAAGATGGCTGAGAGCAGATGAGGGCTGGCTGTATCCCCCTATCGGCGGCCCTGACACCAGGACCCCGTGGTTGCCCCTGTCCGCCTTTGTCCGGGTTTCAGCTGGCCTGCTTAAATGCTTACATGCTTAAAATGATGCGGGTTTATGCATGTGTCCTTTGCTCACTGAAGTAGTCAATGAGATTTTAGTAAATAAACGTGTCTTGCGTTTTGGTGCGTTTAGAAGTTAAAATTTATTCCTGGATGAACCTGACTTGTGTTTCCTAAATGGAGCTAAACTGACTCCAGATAAAAGCATCTAACCACAAGGTGTGAATTGATCCATTTGAAATCATTAGATGCATTTATATGTGCATATGTGAAAACCATCTTACATGCATATAAACGCATCTAATCGCACCCTAGTGTCAATGTAGCCTTAAAGTGCAACTAAAGCCAAACATTTTTGTTTTGTTTTGAATATAGTAGAGAGGGATTAGAACTAGGGATGCACCGATACCGATGCTAGTATCGGTATTGGTGACAATACTGGGCATTTTCATGAATACTTGCACTCGTGAAAATGCCCCGATACTATGCGCAGATACGGATGCTTTAAATTTTTTCATGGAATCGGCTGCCTGAGGTCCCGCGCTTGCACAGCGCTAGTTAAGCCACACATCTCCTATTCCTCCTCCTTTCCGCTGCCTACACCCAAGAGATGCCGCACACAGCCCTGGTGACCTGCCACACAGAGCCCTGATGCTATGCTGCACACAGCCTGGTGACACACCATACACAGCCCTGGTGACAAGCCGCACTTGGCCCTGATGACACGCCACACTCGGCCCTGATGACACGCCACACTCGGCCCTGATGACACGCCACACTCGGCCCTGATGACACGCCACACTCGGCCCTGATGATACGCCACACACAGCCCTGGTGACACACCACACACAGCCCTGGTGACACACCACACACAGCCTTGATGACATGCTGCACACAGCCCTGGTGGCACTGCACACAGCCCTGGTGACACTGCACACAGCCCTGGTGACACGCCGCACACAGCCCTGGTGACACGCCACACACAGCCCTGTTGACATGCCACACTCAGCCCTGATGACACGCCGTACACAGCCCTGATTACACACTCCATACAGCCCTGTTGACACGCCGCACACAGCCCTGGTGACACACCGCACACAGCACTGATGACACACTGCACACAGACCTGGTGACATTTCACACAGCCCAAGTGGCATGCCGCACACAGCCCTGGAGACACTGCACACAGCCCTGATGACATGCTGCACACAGCCTTGATGACATGCTGCACACAGCCCTGGTGGCACGCCACACACAGCCCTGATGACACTGCACACAGCCCTGTTGACACTGCACACTGCCCTGGTGACACGCCGCACTCAGCCCTAATGACATACCGCACACAGCCCTGATACGCTGCACACAGTCCTGGTGACATGCCGCACACAGCCCTGGTGACACCGCACATCCATAGCGAGACTCCACACAGCCCTATGGGGGGACCCCCACACATCCTCCTGAGACCCCGCACAGCCCTGGTGAGACCGTGTACAGCCCTGGTGAGATCGCACACAGACCAGGTGACACTGCACACAGCCCTGGTGACAGGCCACAGACACAGCCCTGGTGAAAGATCACAGACTCAGCCCTTGTGACACGCCACACTTGGCCCTGATGACGCAACACATAAAGCCCTGATGACATGCTGCACACAGCCCTGGTAACACACCCCACACAGCTCTGGTGATACTGCACACAGCCCTGGTGACATTGCACACAGCCCTGGTGACACTGCATACAGCCCTGGTGACACGCCACACACAGCCCTGATTACGCACTTCATACAGCCCCGGTGACACGCCACACGCAGCTCTGGTGACACGTCCCACACAGCTCTGGTGACACGTCCCACACAGCTCTGGTGACACACCGCACACAGCCCTAATGACATACCGCACACAGCCCTGATTACATGCCGCACACAGCCCTGATGACATGCTGCACACAGCTCTGGTGACACCACACACATCTCCGGGTGACATGCTGTACACAGCCCTGGTGAGACCGCACACAGCCCTGGTGACACCACACACAACCCTGGGTGACACGCCGCACACAGCCCTGAAGACACGCCGCACACAGCCCAGGTGACACGCCACACAAAGCCCTGGTGACACACCACACACAGCCCTGGTGACACCACACACAACCCGGGGTGACATGCCGCACACAGCCCTGAAGACACGCCGCACACAGCCCAGGTGACACGCCACACAAAACCCTGGTTACACTGCACACAGCCCTAGTGAGACTGCACAGCCCTGGTGACATGCCACACACAGCCCTGGTGACACTGCACATCCATGGCGAGACCACACACAGCCCTGGTGAGACCCCCACTCATCCTCCTGAGACCCCGCCCAGGTGAGACCATGTGCAGTCCTAGTGAGACCGCACACAGCCCTGGTAAGATGCCATACACGGCCCTGGTGAGACGCTGCACATAGCCCTGATGAGATGCCGCACACAGCCCAGGTCAGACCCCACACAGCCTCCTGAGGCGCCACACAGTCCTGGTAAGCAACACAGAGTATGTAGCTTCATATTATTTTGCATTGTTGTATAATGTATTGCTAAGATTTGTAGTCCTCTATGGTTGGTTGTATTCTGCATTGCTGTATAATATATTGCTAGGGTTTGTAGTCCTCTATTGCTGGTGGTATCCTGCATTGCTGTATGATGTACTGCTGGGAGTTGTACTCCTTCTATCACTGGTGGTATTCTGCATTGCTGTATAATGTATTGCTGGATTTGTAGTCCTCTATAGCTGGTGATATTGTTCTGCATTGCTGTATAATGTATTGCTGAGATTTGTAGTCCCTCTACAGCTTGGAGTCAGTGGCAGAACTACCAGGGGCACAGTTTTTGCAGCAGTGACAGGGCCCTGGCGCTTCACCACTGTCCTAAAACCATTAGACTGTATTGTTTTAGAAAAACTGTCACATGATGATAAAAAAAGGTATCGTAATTGGTATCGGCGAGTACTTGAGGAAAATTATCGGTACTCGTACTCGGTCTGGAAAGAATGGTATCGGTACATCCCTAATTAGAACGCCTATCAGGATTGTATTGCTGTGCCTCCGTTAGGGAGATTCACCCCTTCTATTTCTCCTGGTGACTGTTAGGAAGATTCATCCTATCTATTTGTCCTGGTGACTGTTCACCTGAAAGTAAAAGAAAATCCCAAATTTTAGGTTGTCATCAGAACAGGAATAGATGGGAAATCTTCTAATTGGGACGCTAGTTCTGGTGACCCTGCTGACCAACTGATTTCCTTCACTTTAGAGGGATTTTATCTCACTTCCTGTTGTGGCTATCAGGCAGGAAGTGAGGGGAAATCTCGCCAATAGAAAACAGATGGCAAAAAATGCTGACAGAGGTTATAACCCTCCCTTACTTTATCCAAAACTTTTTTTTTCGGTTTTGGATAGAATAATTGAGGGTTATAACCCCTACTTTAATGGAGATCAAGCTTTACAGCAACACCGACTGAACTGAACCGTGTTCATACCTGTTCCCCTGTTCACACCAACTGTGTCCCTGTTCACACCTTCACATTCAGTGAACGTGCGCCAAACACACACATTCATGGAAAGCGTCAGAAACATGCAACGCGTTCACAGTGCCCATACTTGTTAATGGCCCCCCCCCCTGGGAAAATACACATTAAATGCAAATGTTTGGAGAAAAAAACGCAGTACGCCCGTAGCGGAATCTGCAACGAGCCACTCACTTTCCCACATTTGTTGCACATGTGGCACCCAATAAAATCAATGGGCAATGCTCAGCAAACGCAGGAAAAAACACACATGAACGCACACGAACAGGTGTCACTGTGTCCTAAGTTCATGGAACACAAAGGTGTGAATACTGAATAGGGACTGATTCTGCTGGGAGTGATTGAGCAATTGCAGCAACACTTTTATCTGCATGAAAATACAAAGTGTATGAAGAGGGACACATTTCAGTGTTTTATCAGTAAATATTATTTCACATTTTCAAACCCAGTTTTCCTCCTCAGTATCATAGCTCTGTGTCCCTCACTAGCACACAAGGCGCCAGCTCAGGCAGTGCCTGCCAAGCCTGCTAGAGAGGAAAGAGTTAACAGAGAAGGGGCGGCGCTGGGCATGCCGGGTAAGCGGAAGAGGCCATATTGTCTTCCTGTCAGCGGCTGAAGGAGAGAGTGCGGTCATGAAGCTGTTCGGCAGCGCTCGGATCCTCTCTGTAAGATATTAGGGTGTCGGTGGTGTCCCCGATCTCTGCCCGCGCAGCGGGGGAAATCTATATAACGGGATAATGGGCCGGAATAGTTTATAGAAGGGCCCCTGTGTGTTAGGCCTGCAACCCTGTTTCCCCACACTGTGACCCCTCTTCCAGGGACAGGTGAAAGGACACAGGGTCGGGGTTTGTTGGCTGTCACAGGCCGGGCTTTGTGAGGACTGTAGGGGCAGCTCATTATATGTTTATGGAAGGGAGGAGGATGAAGGTCACCTCTCTGCTCTCCACACAGCTTCCATTACTTTGTGCTGTGTGGAAAGGGGAGACACCTGTTTCTTTGGCTGTGTTGCTTCTATGTTGAAGACATGTTTAATTTTTTTGTAAAACGAAACAAAAAATGCACCCATATTGCAAAGAAAAAAAAAGTGCATTTATTTTTTTTATCGGAGCCTGCAATACTCAGGCTCCTGCAGATTGCTGCCCCAGTGCTAGGTCTGTACTGATGTACAGCTTTTCAGCTATGGAGCTGGAGGAAGTCATCAAACGACTACATGTGTGCTGATGTCATTGTACCCCATGGAGAATGATGAGTCCCTCTGCTGCAGTGAGAGACAGGACTTGTAGTGGATGTGCGAATGGATCTGTGAATGTTACTGTGACAAATTCAAATATGCACAGGAGACTGCGGGGAGAAGTACCTCAGATTCAGGTGCGTGCGTGGGGAGAGACTGCAGGATGGCTCCATGTTCCACCCTAAATATGGGGCATGGTAGTAAAAGTTGACCTTGGCTTTAAAGATCAACTCTGGGCAGAAATATTATTAGGAAAGGTGCTTTCCTACGTTTATTAAAACATCATCCTAATGCAGCGTACATTACTACACCACCAGTCTATTAAAATGTTAAAACTACCAACACATTCATTATTTTTTTTATTTTTTTTTACATTTAAAGTTCTGTTTGTGCAATCTTGATGGAGTTCTCTTTTCCCTTAAAGTGAAACTCCAGGAATTAACCCTTGTGTCTATGACTGCTCTGTAACGTTAACTTGTTTTGGCCTAGGGGCTGGATTAAAGAAATATACTTGCCATATCCTCTATCCCGCTTGGCTGCTAGACCAGTACCCACAACCTCTTCTCCCCCATGTCCCGGTGGTTGTAGTAACCCTGCTGATGTCATCACGTCTAATGCAGGTGAATGGACGTGAGGACGCAAAGGGACATGCAGAGGGGAAGAGAGGTGACCACTGGCCAGGTGAATATGTCTTTGGTTTTCCAGCCCCCAGACCTAAATGAGCAGTTAACCCTTGCAGTGTGGGGGTAGGCCCACTGCAAGGGTTAATTTTAGTATTTGGCGTTCCGTAGCATTCTGCTACGTTATGGCAAGTGTTACAGTGCCCCAGTTTGTTTTTGTTTGATTTATGATGCCTGATGACATCATTTTAAGAGATCCCTTATCTCAGATCTAAACTCAGTCTCTTGATTGAAAGTTAGACTGCTTTTTAATGGAGAACGGAAATGTAATGAATAAATATTGAGTTTGCCATTACCTTTTCTTATGAAGATGAAAACTTGTCTGTCTGTCCTCATCTTGTGTCTTCAGTATTTTGAATCCCTGATCTCAACAAGTATGCAGTTCCAAAGCTCTTTTACTTCATTTTGCCTTTACAACTTGTTGCTTGCATGTTCCAGGTACATGAGCCAGTGGCAGCTTCAGTACTACGGGGGTTGGATTTTTTCTGCTCTAGTTTTGCTAAGTCCCCCTCAGTATATGTTTACGTTTTTATATATTATTCAGTAACATTGAGCCACACGTAAAAATTCTTGGAAGACCAAAAGTGTGTTTCCCTTCAATTCATCTGTCCCAGTGTTAAATACTGAAATAAAATGTACCCTTGTAAAGAAGTAATCTTGAACTTAACTGTTGCAGTGTGCAGAAAGTCCCACGAGTGTTGAATTCCTGTTCCTCCACCAATGTTATGGTTCCTTCTGACACTTTCTATATTACTGCTGTGACCTGCAGTGACATGGAGACCTAAAAACTTAAAGATGTTCCCTTACTTTTGTCTTTGTGACATTGATCACCAGGAAATAGAGTGACAAGAACATTAGTAAAAACTTGGTAGAGGGTCTTACCTTATCCTCTCAAAAAAAAAAAAAAAGTTTTTTATTTTTACATACTCCTGTATCTCATTGATCAGGTCTGAACAAAAATCTGTGTGGTCAGCATTACGCTACATGAGACACTGATAGCACTATCAACAATCCTATGTTTAAATCAGGACTTCAGTCTTGTGTTCCATTGCAGAGTGGAATTCGTATATTAAACTGTATAGACCATTTAACCTGCTATAGACTCTGAAGGATTGAACAGTTGAGTGAGTTATGTTCACTGATTGGTTTTATTTTGGTTAATTTGAGGGAAGAAAACGTGACTGGAGAAGAGCAGAAAAAAAGAAATGTCCCATTAGTGACTTTATAATACCACATGGTGGCTACTTCTGGAGTTTGGCGGGTCACTGAATGAGTCAAGGTCTCGATTTGTAGTTGTGCAAAGACAGTATGTCAGGACAGTGGTAAACTTTGTTGACATCCTACTACTATTGAACTACTACTATTGACTGAAAATATTTTTTCATCCAGGCATCTAACTTTGTCATATAAACATCACTAAAAAAGAATTGGACATAACTAAGGCAAATAACTAGCTTCCCAAAATAGATTTGGGTATGACTGGCAGTGACATTATTTAGAATGAACACCAAGCCTGGAATATTGAAACCTTGACAGACATAAATAATGTCCAGGAAGCCATCAAACTTGATTTCTGATTTAAATGCTAATGGGTCAAACTGATGTTATTACATAATTTGAGGCTATAACTTTTAATGAATTTAATTTTTATTTTATTTTTTAAATCATTGCATAATCATTTGAGAGATTCCCTGAAGTTGTGGAACATTTGCACAAAATTCAAAACATCTTCTGTGTGTTGCGGTTCCATTTTTTGGTAGTGTATAGGGGTACACTTGTCTCCTGTATTCCTTGTGGGATGTTCACCCCCAAAAAAGAGCTTCTAATTTCCAAACAACTTAATTTTATTTTCATTGAACATTTTTGGTAGGTACACAGGCAAATGGTACTGAACAATGTCTATACTGAAATACATTTCAATACATTGCGGTCAGCATACCTTAAAATGTGTATGTTTGCTTTATTACAGAGGAGGCTGTACTCTGCAAAAGCAGCTTCGAAGCCAGAAGCTGCTGCCAAAGCACGTCTTCTTCCTGAGGAGCTTGAGGTAAGTTATGTACACCTTAGGGATTTGGTTTTCTTACTATTTTATGTGTGTAAATCTGCATCATGCACACAGTTAAATTCCTTTTGTGGCCTTTTTTTTTTTTTTTTTCTGGAAAGCATTTATGTCCTTTACTGGTTTATAAAATATCTCCATCACTAGCTTCTAGCTCATGAATTACTGCCTTGTACATTGTTTTACAGATCACAAAGTTGTCAAATGGGCTGGTTATTGCCACTCTAGAAAACCACTCCCCATCTTCTAAGATCGGAGTGTTTATAAAGGCAGGAAGCAGATATGAAACCGCCAGCAATTTGGGTGTTAATCATGTTTTACGTCTTGCATCTAACTTGGTAAGTCTCAATCCAAATTTAGCATGTGTCTAAAAGACTCTAATGGATTTTCCTTTGAACTATATGGCTCCATAGTGACTGATATGAATATTATATAGATCCAGCCTCATAACATATGTCGGCAACATTTACTAGTTTCCTCTGTTCCTGACGATAACCCTAAATTATGTTCTGGTTAGGTGCTTGTTCACACCAGTAGCTAGGACTGACATTTTTCAGAAACTTGTCAACGCCAGTGGCAGTTTTCTCTGTGCCAATGCTGGTGTGATGTGCACGCTGTTTACTTCTCTTTTTTTTTTTTACTGCTGTATTCAGGTTGCTATGTACACAAAAAAAAAGTAAACAGTGTGCTGCACTATTTCAGCTCATCACATTGCCCCCCACCAGATCTCACTCAGCACACTAGCCTGCACACTGAAACGCTTTTTATTTGCAGGCTAGTAAATGAGCATTTTACATCACACAATTACAAAGTTGGTGGGCAGAGCAGCAGACAGGTGATCCAACATAGCTCACTGAACACTACTTCAATCAGCAGTAAAAGCTTACTGGTGATTGGAGCAGTACATGGGGGCATGAGTTGGACTGGTGGAGACCCAGTCTGCTGCTTTTGCCTGTGAGAGCAGCGGTCTGACTCTTCAAGGTTATTTTAAGAGACCTATCGGCCAAATTTGTTTTTGTTTTTTTTACAGTTTTTTTTTAGGATCACAGCAATGCATATACTAATGTCCTCTTGTGACCCAAAACTCAGCTGGGACAAATCCCAACACTATTGCCTGGATTCACCCTGATGCCTGATTTACAACTGGCTCTACCTCTCTAGAGATAGGGCCAGCTGTGGCCCCCCGTTCCTCCAGTCAGCGCTGGAGGAATGAAAGGGGGGGGGGGAGGGGATTCCTGCAGGAAGCAGTGACATTCACCACTCTATGCAGGGAGATCATTGCGAAATGACCGATCGTCCGCATGTTAGCACTCAGATCAATAGAGCAGCCCTGTGACTGCTTCAGTATCGCACGTTGGCTCTAATTGTGGTGATGAGTGTAATTCACTCTCCCAATAATTCTCTTAACTTTTGCTGCAACAAAAAAAAACTAAAAGGGGGCATATGTACTACTGTATATACAGCCTTACTACAATACAGTAATACAGAGGGTTAAATGGACTTTAAAGATTTGGTAAAAGTTACCTTATGATGCCTTCATAGTAAAAGCTTTGTAGTTTATATTGGAAGTACAGGATAACTCTAGCCACCATGAAACAGAGCTCCATTGCTTCTCCATCATGCAGCTATATGTATTTTTGCTGGTGAGGCAACTAAACTGAATAAGCATGGTCTTCGGTCCAAACAGTTAATGGCCGAATATAGATTCTGTGTAATAGTAAATTTCAGATGTGTATTTTGTATGAAAGAAGCTTAATGGCAGAGGCATATCTGTGTACATAATTTAGCTATCTGTATTTTACCATAAATGATATGTCCTTCACTTTCATTTTCTTTCTAGACAACTAAGGGAGCCTCAGCATTTAAAATTACCCGTGGCCTTGAAGCTGCTGGTGCTGGCTTAAGGTTTGTGTATTAATACAATTCTAAAATCTCTTCCAATTTAAAGAATTTTTAAAAGGACTTCTTTCCTATGGAGAGGGACAGTAGAACATTGGCGTCTGTTTTATACAATATAGTGGGCCTGAAAGAACTGCTAACATCAGTCAGGCACAAGGAGCCATTATATTTGTGGTTCAAGCCACTAAATAACTTCTTTACCTATACTGTGTCATATATTTGTGGATTTTGCTCAAACTTGATTTACTTTTATAAACACTATTGACATATTTGTGCTTTCCCTTGGCTTTATTCATTACTGATATTTATACAGCGTCAGCAATTTACGCAGCGCTTTATCTTCATACATTCTAAGGTCCCTATCGTACACACATACACAGCCAATTTAGGCAAGAGCCAATTCATCTTCCAGCATGTCTTTGGAGTGCGAGAGGAAGCCAAAGTACCCAGAGGAAACCCACACAATCACAAGAACACGCACACTCCATGCAGATAGTGTCCTGTCCAGGTTTCAAACCAATGCAAAAGTGCTAAGCCCTATGTCACTGTGCTGTTGTTTTTGCCATAATTGTGTGAATAACACTTTCTGACTTTTTTTTTCAATTGTTTCTCTGCAGTGTGACATCATCAAGGGAAAATATTGTGTACTCTGTGGATTGTCTTCGAGATTATGTGTAAGTCATTCAAAATATTGTTGTCATTTTGGTGTGTGTGTGTTATATTGTGACAGGTGTAAAAGTTTTGGAACATCTTCTGAAGCAGAAAAATGGTTGTTGATTTGGCTGAATTATAGAAATAGACCTTTAAAAAATAGCCGTGGCAATTAACCATATTATCGTTTTTGTTTTATGCTAGGACAGTTAAAACAATAAAATCTAAATGTTGCTGTAATATGGGTTGTAAGCCTGTATTTTGTTTTGTTTCAACATTTCTGAGGTGTATTTTACATTGTCAGCCTGCAAAGAGCCATTCAAATAGATATTTGCAACGCATTTATATTGTTTCTGCAGTGTTTAGTGGTTATGTTGAGGTCCTCAAGGGTACTACACTACACAGATCTTAGTGGAAGCACAGTCCCTACAGTACATGATCTCCGATCTGTTCCCTGTGTCCTTCAATGAACGGAGAGAAAAGGATTTTACGGTGAGTACCAAAATCCTATTTTTTCTTTCAACATGCCTCAAGTCATGCTGAATCTAGTTACCGGTATATACCTTTTAACCCTTTTGCTGCCACTGTCGTAAGGCTTACGGCGGAACACAATTGCTTGCAGCTGGCTAGCTCAGTAAGCCTTATGTCGGTGGCTTTTACAGTCTGCGTGGCTAAGCAGAGGATCGGTAAATATCTGTGATATTTACTGATCATCTGTGTGCAGGGCAAACACTGGAGTGATCAGCTGATTGTAGGGTGTTTGTTATACAACTGGGGACACACAATACTCTGTGTCCCCAGTTATGAATGAACAGGAAGTGCTTTACATCACTTCTGTTCATTCATGAGTTTCCCAATAGGTGGAAGCCCCAGTACAGATGCTTCTTACCCATTCATAACTAGATGATAGTAAAACATTTACTATCACCAGTTATGAATGGAAAGACTCTGTACTGAGTGCTTTCCATTCATGGAGTGTTGAGGCTGCAGAAAGAGATTGAGGACTCTGTGTCTTCAATTTCTTTTTCTATTTCAAACAGGAAATGTCAGGGGTCATTTTACCAAAGCCCCCCAACAATAAAAGAAAAAAAACACACACTATGTGCTGCGGTGTATTAGAACACATCGCAGTGCTTGATTTTTTTATTTTTCTTTCTTTTCAAAATAACATTATGGCAAAGCGTTGTGACACGCTGTGTTGCGATTTAAATGTACACCTGTATCATTTTATCACAACACACACAGCGCAAAAATGATTTTGAACATAAGTTGCTTTATTTACAGTCTTATGATATTAACTTAAAGGGGAACTATGAGTTTTTTTGTGCACTGATACTTATTTTTGTGCTTTTATCAATTTGTGTATTTTTATCGGTTTAATTCTGATTTGACAAACATTTGCACAATTATCGCAGGGCCTACAAAATTAGCAGCACCATCTTTTTATTCTACCGGGCCTGTGCTTTCAGAAAATATATGGTTTGGGGGGTCTTTTACAAACGCTGGCAGCGCAGCATTAGAAAATCAAAACAATGGGAGAAATTGCAAAAATGGTGTAGCCAGCTGAGGTTAAAAGCGTTCCGGAGGGCTTGGCAGCGAAAGGGTTAAACAGCTTCCCAACAGCCCCAGAAATTCAACATGCTCTAAGGCCTGGTTCACGCCTGTACTTTTTGTAGCGCGTTCAACGCTCTACAAAACGCTCAAACATGAAAATCCCATTGTTTTCTATGGGTATGGTTCACACCTTGCCGTATTTCAGCCCGTCTGAACGCGCTACAAAACGGCCTACGCCTCATAAGGTACATGAGCTTTTTTGCGGCGTTTTTGTCGCGTGTTTCCATTGGGATACAGCCAAGTAGCCCTCGGAAACCCGCGCTTGTCGCACGGTTATTTTACCGCGAATAGCAGCAAAAATGCGCGTCACAGAACGCGCGACAAATGCGCGTCACAGAACGCGCGACAAATGCGCGTCACAGAACGCGCGACAAACGCGCGTCACAGAACGCGCGACAAACGCGCATATTCGATGCGTCTAGGTGTGAACAGAGCCTAACACTGAACTACACTGAGTGGCCAGATTATTATAACCACCTGACGTTTGTAGGCAAATTAGCTATAATTTCGCGCTGAGGTTGCTAGAGGGCCAGACCATTATAAATAGGGAAGCAGGTTGTTTACCACGGCAGTAGAAGTGATTTTTTTTTCTGAAGATATGGGTAAACAATGCGATTTAACAGCCTTTGAACGTGGGATGATTGTTGGAGCTCTGAGCCATGGAGTGAGTATCAGCAAAACAGCAGAATTCGTTAAATGTTCAAGAGCAGCTGTTGTTAAAGTGTTTAAAGACTGGACTGTCAGCCGAAAATCTGGGTCTGAACGTGCGAGTTGTGGCCGTCAGCGACTAGTCAATGTTAGGGCAGAAAGGAGAGTGGCAAGACTGGTACAAGACAACAGAAGGGCAACAGTGCAGTGTCAGATTCCTCGCATCACCTTTCAACATCTCGTGGAGTCACGAGGCGGCCCAACGAAGTCATCTTGTGGCCCAACAAAGTACTGATGGGGTGGTCATAATAATCTGGCCACTCAGTGTATATGCCTTCTAGTAAAGTCAAGTTCCAGCCCATCTCATACTAGGCCTTACATTGGTCTGTGAGCCAGTAATGAGCAGTAACTGTGAACAGTAATGAGCCAAAAGTAAAGAGGGGGCAGGCAACCACTTGCAATTACCAAGAAAAGTCCATTTGCACATGGAACACATTGCATAAAGCACTCTAGGTTTTGGAATCCTGCGGCATTGTCTAGCTGTTTGAAGATGTGTGTAGGTGCCTGGATTATATTTTTGTAGACAGTTTAGTTTACAGAAGCCTGCTGGTTTATTTGAAAGTAGAATTCCAGGCAAAACTTGATTGAAGCTTTGATCCTTTCCTGTTAAAATAATAAAACTGTTTTCGTTGTTGCAATTTCCCTTTAAGGGATTTTCTCACTTCCTGTCCTAGTGACCCATCTAGAAGTTAAGAGAACAATAACCTGACAGAGGTTCTAAACTTTTTTTTTAAAAATAGTTGACTAGTGTTCTGCCTAAAGCTAAAAAAAAAATTTGCATCATTAGATATATGATATTATATAGTATTCCTAAACCACTGACTCCAAAACTGGGTTTTTAGTTATGATAGTTTTCAGTACATAACAAGCCGGCACATTCTGTGGAAGGGTGTTCAAATGGTGTGTTAAAGAAAACCTGTCCTTAGAAGTACCCTGCTGCCATTGCTACCCTCTTTCAGCAAATGCTTTTTGTACTTTTATAAGTAAGCACTCAACAATGTCAACATGCATGAAATTCATACTTGTTCTGTGCTATTGATTCAAAGCATTGAAGCTACTGGATCAGCATGACAATCAGATAAAACAATTTTTAGAATTATATATATATATATTCTTTAAAATTTGCATCCAAGCCTGGAAAGTATTGCAATTGTGATCACTCGATCAAAGCTGCAAAGCTCAGCCTTTTGCACATTTTCAAACTGGCAGAGTTCGTACGGAGTTTGTCAGGGGTGGGGGTGGACTTCAAACTGCATTAAATCACCTCATATGGTGTCCAGCCGCCCTCTAGGTAGAGCTGCCCATATTCCCGCATCTACCTAGGGTGAGGACGGCTGGACGCCACATGAGGTGATTTATTGCAGTTTGAAGTCCAGCCCCCCCCCATCTCTCCTAACAAACTCCGTACCTCTGCCTGGGAGAGTATGTGCTGAAGTCTGAGCTTTGCAGCTGTGAAGGGCGAACGTATCCTTTTAATAATCACTGCCTACTTCCTTCTCTACTGGTTTCCTTTACACTGCCACAACGGCCCAAAATTGGACACCTGAAGTTGTCTGTGCTGAATCTGTGAAGTCTTTGAAGTCAGAGATGGTCAATTTAGCATTTTCACATGAAGGGGTCTGTAGCGGCTGCATTTATATCTCTGTAAGTGTCTACACACAAGTGCAGGGTTCCTTTTATAATATATACTATTCCAAATACTGGGACCCTTTGGTTTTCTAGAAAAGAGTCTTCCTCCAATGTCCTTCCAACTTATTATTTTTTTTTTATTTGTAGGGATACTGTAATGGAATATCTCATTAATGTCACTACTGCCCCAGAATTCAGACGATGGGAGGTCTCTGAACTTTCTCACCAAGTAAAGATTGATAAAATGTTGGCTTACCAAAATCCACAAGTTGGTAAGTAGTCCTTTTTTTCTTTTTAACTTCTCTCAATTTTGTGAACAAAAGGTATTTTGTGAGTAAAGTAAGGGATTAAAGTGTGAGCTGTCTCATTGTAGGTATCTTGGAAAATCTTCATGCTGCAGCTTACCGCAATGCTCTTGCGAATTCATTGTTCTGTCCTGACTACAGAATTGGAAAAGTTTCACCAGATGAGGTAACCATTTTGTCACTTTGTAAAATCCTACAATCCTCTGTGCTGGCTAGGATATGTGGGATAGCACTGACAGTTAATTTTAAGACACTTTCCTCTGAACACTTGGGTTTTTGTTTTCCTTCTGAAGAAAAATATAATGTTAGAGGTGCACCGAAATGAAAATTTTGAAACCGAAAATAAAAAAGTCAGACCAAAACCCCAATTTTTTTTATAATTTTTTTTTTTTTGAAATTTTATTTTTTTTAGAAATATATTTGTATTTTTTTAACTTTTACAGTTGTGCCCAAATAGGCAGTTTGAGGCAGAAGACTAGCTACATGCATTGTCTTTGGGCTCTCCTTTACTGATTTACTATGCATGAAATGGGTACCAACCAACAGATCTCCATTGGAACACCATATGCAGTGTAAAGTAAATTAAGAATCCCATTAATTAAACCATATTATAAATGGCCTTGGCAGGTTGGGTTTGACTCCGAACTTACACCCTTGGCCAGAGATGTTTCAAGATGCTTCCTGTTGCACGTTGCCTTTAAAGCCAAACTCCAGGAAAAAAGTATAAAAATCTTACCTTAAAGCATGTCGGCTCCTACACAACTCAGCTTCTGGGCTCTTCAGGGAGTGAGGGATGCGACTCTAGCAGGGTAGTGCTCCAGTCGCATCCCCGCCTCTCCTCACTACTTGCCCATTGACAAAATGCCTTGTATTTATATCTCCACAGAACGCCCTGTATTCTTTGAGATGTTACATCCACACCCTCTCCTCCAATCACAGAACGATTTGAATTGTTTGAAAAAAAATGCTTTTTGCAGTAGCCATCCACACACAACAAACAGCTTTTAACCTAACGCCTTTATAAAGGATGTCATTTTTAAAAGAATAACTCTCCACATATACCCCGCGCCCCCTCCCCTCCAAAAAAAAGAAAATCTGTATACTAATAAAGGGCTTTTAATGGCATATTTATAATAGGTAAATGTACAAAATACAAATCTGGTTTTGATGACAGTAAAAAGGACAAACACTTTATGTAGAATGGATTCTTTAACATGTTTCCATTTTTTTTTTTTCCTTGTAGTTGCAGCAGTTCGTGCAGAATCATTTCACAAGTTCAAGAATGGCCCTCGTTGGATTAGGTGTGTATATTGTGATCATGTTAAATGCATTTTGTAGTACTCTTTGATAAACGTTTGGTAGGGATACAGATCAATTGTACAGATCTAACAATAGATCATGCAGTTTAACCCCTTCGCGACTACGTCCGTTCACCAATCTCCTCCCCGTTTTATGCGTATTGCATCACGTCCGGTCCCAGAGCTGTCATTGCTGGGCTCCTGAAGCCCAGCAATAAGCTATTGAAGTGCAATGTGCTCTTCAATAACTTATTCAGAGTGTAAAGGTGACACTGGGGGTCTTTTGGACCACCAGTATCACCTTAAATAGTACCTGTCATCACCAATCTATCACATGGGGGGCTTGTAAACCCCCCCTATGTATTAGTAAAGTAAAAAAACAAAGAACAGTTTTAAAAAATATCAAATGAAATAAATGTAAAAATAATGTAAAAAATGTGTTTTTTTTAAAGTCCCCCCGCAATCACTCGCATTATAACAAAAACACGTGTCGGGTGCGCCTACGTAGGAAAACGATGATTGTGCTACAAATGTTGGGTATCGCTGTGCACGTCAGAGTGAGAGCAATAATTGTAGGGCCAATATTTATGCGTATCTCAAAACTGATGACCTGTGGGGGCTTTTACATCGTTGTTTATGGACTTTTTGGTGTACTGAAGTTTGTACAGACTGCCAATTTGATTACTAAGAGATGAAGAGGAGGTGACGCAAGGAATCTTGCCAGATTGTTCAGCAGATAAAGCAGTTGAAAACTCAGTTTCACATAGGGATAAATAGGATGGAGGGGAATTCGATTGTGTTTGAAGAAGTTGTTGGTATAATTGAGAAACTCCACGCCGGGGATGTATGTCAAGGGACAAGAGTTTCCAGCGGGCATACATCGGCTCTGGAGCGTATTGGCTACGGGAGAGAAGAGCTGAAGTGTTGGATCTGTAGATAATGCCAAAAGTCCAGGGGACATGCACCCCACTTGGTATGTAATTGTTGAAGTGTCAAAAGCTTTGAGCCCTCAAATAAATGATGAAGTCCAAACATGGGAGCAGAGGTCCAAGCTCTAAAACCACTGTAATGAAGACCCGGATAAAAATAGGAGTGGCCCAACAATGGCATAAGAGGCGGGTTGTTATGGCCTACAAGTGCAGAGTATAATTTGTCCCACAGTCGGATTGTTGTCATAGCGGGTGGGCAGGATAAATAGAAAAGCCCCAAAACGCAGGCGGAATCCAAATGACGGTAGGCAACGAAGACCCACTTGGTTCCCCCTCCAGGGTGACCCACAGTTTGGTGTCAGCATTATGCGTCCAATCCAAAACTCTTAAGAATAGCAGCTTGGTAGTGGAAGGTGAATGCATTCTGTGTTTTGAATTTCACCCGCACTGGCATAGGGCGAGGTGTGTTCACCCAAAGGTAAGTATAGTGGGGGGGCCAGAAAGGGTAGGGTAAGGGTAATTCCATTTTCCCAAATTCACCTTGGAAAATTGAATTACCCTTTCAAAATTAAGGACAATGGTTTCATAACTTTGCTAAGCACACCCAAATACTCGTGGGTGTAAGTTATCTGGTCCTGGAGACTTATTTACATTAAGTTTTTCTAGTTTGTTTCAAACCTGTATTTCTGTTCGCCACTGCGGTACATTATTACATTGCTATTAGCATTACTTTGTGTATTAAACACATTAGGGGGAATTTATCAAAACTGGAGCAGACAGAATCTGGAGTAGTTGCCCATGGCAACCAATCAGCATCTCTCCAGTTTGGTAAGGTAAGATTGGAAAATGAGGCAGAGAAACTGATTGGTTGCAGTGCAAATCTGCTGCAGACTGTCTGCTCCAGTTTTGATGAATCCCCCCCATTGTTTTCATTTGTATAAACTGAAGAAAGGTGTGTATTTATTACCTGTTTTCTTCTTGTCATTTGAGACCAACTTCTCATGTTCATCTTTTATATTACCTACATGCACTGTCCCTTTCCTTTTTACTATTTATATATTTGAAGAACTTTTGGGGGATTCATTCTACTTTCTATAGCACTGTTTTTCAAATTCTACTTTAGCTGCCCTGTTTGCATTCTTTAAATCTCTTATTTCAATCTTTGTATCTCTGGAATACCAATATTGGCCCTTCCTCGTTATATTTAAATTCTAATTTTTTTTTAATGTTTTGTTTGTTTTACGCTCCGATTCAGCCACATTGTTTTACCTTTTTGTTCTTTTATATTTGTAACCCAATAGGATAAACTGGCGATTGCCATTATGTAGTATGGTCTTAAAATACTCACACTTATCCTCGATTGTTTTTTGCTAGAAATATTTGGTCCCAGTGCCCCTTCATTGCCCATTCAAAGCCACCCATGCTTTGCAGTGGCACACAAAGGGGGGCAGAGAACTTTCCTCTCTAAAACACAGCTTGGAGACTCTCCCTCCTCTCTGTATCCTGTCGTGAGGTACATCTCTACAGGTTCAGTCACCCAGAATTTGCCGTTTTAACTCTGTATATGTACAGCTAACTTTTTTGGGTAGAGTAGGTAAGGGTTGAGCTGGCCATATCCACCTGCTGAATCGTCTAAAATTCAAGCCTTCTCCTTTCTCAATGTAAATGTAAGGTCTCTGATTTACATTTACACAGCAATGTATTCTTAAATGTGAGACATACAGGGCTGGTCGCGGAAGGGTGAAAAGTTTGGAGAGGTGAACAGTCTGAAGGTGCCCGTACACCTTACGATTATCGGACGATTTTCGTATGCGATTGACTTTTCGTCCGATAATCGTATGTGTGCATTGCAGTGTCCGACCGACAGTACTGTACAATCGTACGACTTTTGACAGTCAAGCATGTTTGAAAACTTTGCTAGATCGTACGATTTTCGTAAGGTTGCTGGCGTTTCCATCCGTCAAAAGTCAATTGCCGCATTTTGTCCAGGGGCTTTTCGTTAATTACGGCTAAATTAATCTTGCGATCATCGGGGCAGGATGGGGCTGCCGTACGAAAATCGTACGATTATTCGATCATCGGACGAAAAGTTTTTTGTCCGATGGTTGTGGGGGTGTATGGGCGCCTTGAGACGGCATAGCTGGGCTGGAAAACTTCTCCAATTCAGCTCACTTTCCAGTTTGGCTATGTTGTCCTGGATGGTTCCCTTCTCTAAGCTCTTCACCCTTTTGTGAATAGCCTTGTTACTGTTTATCTGCTTTGTTTTTAATGAATTTCTTTCTCTTGCGGGAAAAAAAACAGAAAAATATTTGGTCCCATATCATATAAGTAACATACTTTATTAAAGTTTGCCCTTTTGAAGTTGAGTTCTTATTAATCAGTCATTTTTAACTGGTCATTTTTAGGATGTTGGTAAAAAATATGCCTGTTTTTAAGAAGTGCAATAATTCATAGACGGTGGGGTTGTTTTTTGTTATAGGTGTCAGCCATTCTGTCCTCAAACAAGTTGGAGAACATTTTCTTAATATCAGAAGTGGTGGAGGTTCTGCAACCATCAAAGCTCAGTATCGTGGAGGTATGTAGGTTTCATATTCCTTTGTTACGTGGCGTTCCAGTAGGTTAAAATGCCTTGCCAATGCTTTTAGTGTTTTCAAATTTAGCAGTTTACTGTCAAATTCTTTTGTACTGGGTCTAGTGGTTAAACCGTTGTCAATCAGTGTGACACCTCCTAGATTTCAGGCCAGGATATGTCATGTATTTTTACCAGGAAGCCGGGCACCGTGTAATGACTTTCTGCCTGGCTTCCTAATTGGTCGAGTACTGCACAGTAATGACCCATAATAATGTCCTGAAATTGTCATGTTGGAGCCCAGATCGCCTTCCATTGGAAATACCATTTGATGCTAAATATTGAGATAGAGACCTATCCATAGACTTAAGGATGTAATTTTTATATGAAAGAGTCTCTATTGATCGGTCTAAACAATGTGGTGTTTCTCTTTTAATAGACTGCAATGTGATAGTTATTCGGAGTAACATTTAAATACTAACGTTTGCACCTTGTTTTGAGATGAGTTGTTATTTATAGCATACAACATCTGTCATAATGTTCTGATTCTGCAGTGCTGATTTTTTTTTTTTCCTTGTGTACAGGTGAGATCCGAGAGCAAAATGGAGAAAGTCTTGTCCATGCTGCCATTGTGGCAGAAGGAGCAGCAGTAGGGAGCCCTGAAGCAAATGCTTTCAATGTCCTCCAGCATGTTGTCGGAGCAGGGCCTTACATCAAAAGAGGTAGCAACTCGACCAGCAAACTGTCCCAAGCAGTGTCCAAGGCAACTAGTCAGCCCTTTGACGTAAGCATTAACTCCATGAAAGAATGTTGTTATCCGGAATTCTCATTCACATCTATCCCAAGTTTTTGTTTTATTTATTTCTTTGCAATACAAGTGAAATTTTAGTAAAATGTGCACTTGTCCATCCAGCTTAGCCCCCTTGACCAAAACCCCCCAGCCAGCTGTTTACCTCAGCCTCACAGTCACAATCTCCAGTCACAATCTCCTTCTGTGCTGGATGCCACTGCACAGTGAGACCCCTATAGACTTGACTGGAGCCATATTACAAAAATCTCCTGTCTGCGGGCTTTAATAGGCAGGCATGGCCAGCACTGAAGAAAAAATCTCCACTTAGACGATATGAACAACTGAGGGCAAGGCAGCACATGGCTGGAGGGTTTTTTTTTAATACCATTTCAAATTAGGGGCTTGTACACCTTTTATACTAAAAGTGCATTTGTGCTTTATACAGAGCAGACATCTTTGCTTGTCAGTAAGATTATAATTTCTAAACTTTAATATTTTTTCCCCCCCCTCTCTCCTCAAGGTTTCTGCATTTAATGCAAGCTACTCGGATTCTGGTCTTTTTGGAGTCTCCGTTATATCCCAGGCTGCTGATTCTGGAGATGTAAGGGAAAAAAACAAAGCTGTATATAATGCTTTCTCACCTATTCCTAGGTTATCATACCACTACAATCCCTGTTTTGTTGCGTAAATTGGTATACTGAACAAGACCTGTAGGAGTGCTATGCAGTTAGGTTGGTTTTGCAGACACAATTTTTTTTTTAGTTTAATTTATGCTAAAAATGTCATTTCGGCTTTGTACACATGGGTTCCAGTATAGAGAAGTCAAATGTGTACAGCAAGCTTCAAGTAGCTTTCTTGAAGTCCTAAAAGCAAACTTCACTTTTTATTTCACAAAGATCACACTATATTTTAACACAAATATTAGGGATATTTATTGGGGATTTTTTTTAAGTCGGAATAACCCCCACTCTATTCCACTAGTAGAAATGTTTGTTTATTTTTTTGGTTAGAGCACAATGATCGCCAACCAATTTTACCCTGAAAGCAGGGTTTTTGTATTAGTTCATCAGATTACACTATTTAACACCAATATTAGGGATATTTATTGGGCATATTTTTTAAGTCGGAATAACCCCCTCACTAGACCACTAGTAGATTTTTTTATTTATTTATGATTTTCCATTGTAGGATAGGTGTAGAAGGGCCTGTTGCCAAATGAGGGTCAAGTTAGCAAAATAGATATAAGGGGAAATAGATGATTGGTAAATCAAGAAGTAACATATGTAGACATGTAATTGTGCTATAAGATTAAATGCATATAGAAAGTCTTACTAGTATGATGGTTCCATATTTTGGTGATCTTGTTCTGTGATAGTACCCTATTTGTGAATGATATTAGGTGTTTAATGGATATTTGAATTTAAAATTCAATAAATATATATTAAACTAAAAGCAAACTTCAGATCTAGTATGGAGATGTTAACCATAGATCCTTCTGGGAGTTCTGACTGTCACTTTAAACAAGTTGCTGGCATGCTTCAGCAGGTGTTAAGTTGTGCTAAATCCTACTGAACCCTGCTTACAACGTGTTTAAAGAGAGTCAGCACTTCCATTAAAGAAGAACTCCAAGCAAAACTGATCTTAACCCTTGCAGTGTGGCTTCCCCTCTGTGTCCTCAATCTTATTTCCAAAGGGAAATATCAGAGGTCTAAAAGCCCCTAAGAGTAAAAAAAAAAAAAAAACATTTCAAATAGTAGAAAAGTTAAAGAAATAAAGCCAACCTCCCCCCAATTATTACATAAAAAGGTGAAAAAAGTTCATTTTTGGCTGTGACCTGACAAATTCTGGTGCGGGAGGTGCATTGCGGTGCTATTCATTTCAGTGGCACCCCAAACGTGCCTCCTGCCTACAGTGCGATCACCCACTCTGAAATGCAATTGCTAAAAAATTGTGCATGCAGTTTTACTCTGAGGTAAACCATTTGTAACACTCAATTTGTGTATTTTATTTTAAAATAAAGATGGTATTTAATTTTTTTAAATCAAAAAAATAATCAGACAGTTAATCGATTATGAAAATAATTGTTAGTTACAGCCCTACTTGCTACAGGTCACTATGTGGTGGACTGTGTGAGTTTGTAAAATGATTTTATTAAAATGTATTTTATTTTATTTTTTTAGGTCATTAAAGCTGCTGTTGACCAGGTGAAAGCTGTTGCTGGGGGCACTGTAAGCGAGTCTGACATCGCACGAGCAAAGTGAGTACATTATTTTTTGCGGTCACATTGGATCCATTACCTCATGAATGGATGTCCCATTCTTTTACAACAGCAGTGGCAGTCTTTTAAGATACAAAGCGATTGCTGGCTGTCTCTAAATATTCTGCCTATGTCAGTCAATATTCTACTTATTAAATATATAAGAAGGAAAACTTACAAATTGCCATATTTGTAGCAGATTGAAGTGTTACAAGACTTGGATATCATTGTGAAAAAAAATGTTTCAAAGTACTTCTGAAAAAAAGTTGTGTTCATTAGATCTTGTAAAAGCTCAATCCACAGCCAGTTATTGCAGTACCAAAGCTTCGGTAGCTGTCTGCACCTATACAAATAGCCTGATAAGTAAGCTCCTATACCTCATGCTTTCAGCAACACATAAATGCCTGAATAGTGTGTGCAATGATGTGTAAGAGGCGAATGATTTGTCATTTCAGGAACCAGCTGAAATCTCAGTACTTTCTATCCACTGAAAACTCCTCAGGACTGTTGAATGAGATTGGGTCCCAGGCACTTGCAGCCGGTTCCTACACACCACCAGCTGCTGTCATCCAACAAATAGATTCTGTGACCAAGGCAGATGTTGTTAATGTGAGTAGTTCATCTGTGTACTGAATTTATTAGGAATACCATCAAGGGTCTGTGAACTCTGGAGGAAAATGCATGCCAACCTTAATTAATGGTAGGTTCGCTTTATGTGCTGAAAATGAACACAAAATAAAGTTTCAGAGGGTGCAGCACCAGGGAATCGTGGTAGGTAACTAGGGTTACCTGAAGTGGTATATGATTGATGTATGAAGTGGATGAGGCCTGTTGCAGTATAGCATAAGTAGTCAAGAATCATGGTTAGCTGTGTAAATTCCTCCTTAATATAATGAACTCCCTGAATGCTAGCTGTTATGAATATACCTGCAAATTTGTGAGAACCCCTTGACATTTGGCAGTTCCGGTGCGTTACTGCATGTCTGCTAACGTGTGGTATTTCATGTTAACATGCATTGTTGGGGCACATTCCTTTTTAAATGTGCTACCAACGCATGTTAATAACAAGGAAACCAGACCTGCACCTTGGAGTGATCACATGCCCAGGGGATAAATGTTGAGGGCCACCCTTCTTACAGCAGATGGAGCTTGGCAGCAACATAGCAGAATTAATATTTCTGCCCATTAAGTGACATTGTTGCTCCCTCAAGGATATTAATCTGAAAGTACCCTGGAAATAAAAGAGGAATACTCCCCTTCTTGTAAATTGTGTTTGGAAACTTTGCTGTCTTGTAGAACCACTGCTGTTTCAACACTTCCAAGTGTATCAGGATAGTGTGTCCCCTACTAGCTACTACTGTTCCTCACCCCCACATCCCGTTGTCACTACTGTGTTCTTTATTGAGGTAAGATTCAGTGGGGGGAAACGCACTCTGGCACCCCTGAAAGTGTTGGATAGCAGCAGCACATGGAGCTCTTCAAGATGGCAAAGTTTCAACACACCACCTTTCAGTAAGCGGAGCATTCCTCCTTTTGTGGGATACTTTCAGACTTATTATGTTATTAATGTAACACTGAGATTTTTCTTGAACGTAATGTATTGATATGCACATTGTGGGAGATTTCACTTTTATAGCTGTGCAAGAAAATCTCATGTCTGCTGGCAAGTGAAGACTTGGAGGCTATTTAAAGGTCACTTGATTGTTGTATGCGTATATGAGAGCACAATATGTTTATTTCAGTCTCATACAGTAAAATAATTTGCACAAGATTGCATAGGCTGGCATTGCTGACGTCTGAATTTCCAGTCGTTATGCTGATCTAATGGCTTTACTACTAATATGAGTTGCTGATCCAACAACTGAACTAGAATGCATTTTCTGCATACTTTCTCTGGGTTGGTGTTTTAGAAATAACAAAGACAATCTGGAAAGTAGCATTTTCAGAAGCAGGTTAGTAATGGCAGCCTATATAGGAGGATGATATTGTCGTAGATTCCTTGTTGCCAGGACTTAAAGTCGCAGTAACAAATGTTATTTCCATGTTAATGTCTATATTTGACTTTCCTTTTGTAGGCTGCAAAGAAATTTGCATCTGGAAATAAATCTTTGGCAGCTAACGGGAACCTGGAAAGCACCCCATTTGCTTCAGATCTCTAATACGGCTCCAGCAAGACTTCATGTAACAGCATATGTTTCTGGCTAAGCCCTTAGAAGTTTACCTTCTATAAATTGTTCTCGTTACTAGCTTGGTATAAGGAAATTGAATTATTTATGAAACTAGACCATAAATGTGACTTGTGACGGGGAGAGTTTTGGAAGGCTTCTTATTGTGGTCTGTGGAAAATGCTCATCTAAAACCTGCACCACATAAAATAAAAAATGACTATTTCTATTTTTTGTGTGCCACTTTCTTTGTATAAATCAAGTATGGTGTATTATATCCCAAGTACTATATAAATATTACAAAAAGATCCCAAGTACTATTTATATAGTGCTTGGGATCCTTCATATAAGCTGAACAGTAATGTGCAAAATGTAGATATTGTTTCCGAAATGTCTGTGAAGGTTCTCATTCATCCAGGTCATGATATATCTGTAAAAAAATAAGTCAAGGCAACTGGACTTGCTGTATTTTTCTTGAAGATGTTTCACTGGTCATCCAACCAGTTTTCTCAATTCAGAAAGGGGGCCCTTTAAAACGTGCGGGTATCCAGACTGGGCTTTTGTCAAAACAGAAAGAAGAGGAAAGAATGGCAAAAGTACAAGTGAAGGTGAAAAGCATGACAAATGGAAGAATTTGGTCATCCCATATGTAGCTGGGGTGTCTGAGAAACTCAGAAGGGTTTTTAAAAAAACATCACACCCCTGTCTGCTTTAAACCCAGCAATACACTGAGGGAACAACTGGTCCACCCAAAAGACCCAACACCAAAAACATGAACATCATTGTGTATGCAGTTCAGTGCGGTGAGGAGTGCTCAGAATTGTATGTCGGTGAAACAAAACAGCAGCTACACTAGCGTATGGCACAGCATAGAAGAGCCAAAGCCTCTGGTCAGGATTCAGCAGTATACCTACATCTAAAGGAAAAAGGTCACTCCTTTTGAAGACAGTGACATACGCATCCTAGGCAGGGAGGAGGGCTGGTTTAAAAGAGGTGTCAAAGAGGCCATTTATGTAAAAATGGAGAAGCCAAGCTTAAATAGAGGTGGGTGGGTGTGAGACATCTATTGTCTGCCACATACAATGCTGTTTAACACCTCTCTCTGGGCAGGTTAATAACTCCTAGACTCCTATTATGCAAATGCAATCAACACCTGGTTGTGACTTACAGATTATGTGGATTGGAGCAACATTCACCATATTTATTCTCAGTTTTTTTTTGTACAAGTCATTCTGAATTAAGAAAGCTGGTTGGATGATGAGTGAAACGCCTTCAAGAAAAATACAGCAAGTCCAGTTGCCTTGACTTATTTTTTTTACAGATCTTGTTTCCTAAAGTATGGAATGTGTACCACTGGGTTTCTGTTCAGAACTTCCTTGTTGGAAAATAGATTTCTTCCAAGTTGCAAAGTATAACAGTACGTATGGGCTTTTATGGGTGTTTGGTGGACATATTGCAGACTTATGTCTTGGGCAAGTCCAGTTCAGGCAAAAAGATAAAAAAAAAAGAAAATCAGTCTGCAGCACCAGTTAATAAAAAGGGCTCCACCTGCAATACACTCCTCAACGGTGCTGTTCCCCGCAGACTAATCTGCTTAGCAATCAGCCATTCGTTTTCCAAACTGAATAAAGCCCAGCATTATTCAGCCCACTTCATGTGAGCCCTATCAAGGGTCTGCCACCCCATGCCCTATCAAGGGTCTGCCACCCCAATCCCGCCCTGAACTCACGGGAAAATCCTATGGTGCCAACGGCCAGTAGTTGGACTTCAACCTTGTTGTGTTACTACTGTGGCAACATACTGTATGTTCCCTTTGTAATTTAGGATCTTTGTCATATCCACAAATGGGGACTTTTTTTTTTCTTCAATCTAGCCTGATGAGCATAACATTCCTAACAGAGATGGCCAAACTACGATACATTTCAGTCCTCGCCTCTGTGCGTCTTTGGTATCCATCTTTTATTTTTTCTTTTACATGCATCTACTGGAGCTGCGGCAGGCTGGTGTGTGGGCGGGGCAGGAGCTGCGGCCGGTCTTTACACAGTTTATGTGCAGCTACCCCGGAAGTACGACCTAGCGGATTTCTGTAATATAAGACCTACCACCGAACTAGGTCTTATTTTCGGGGTAGGTCTTATATTACAGAAATCCCTGAAGATAGTGCTAGGTCTTATTTTCGGGGTAGGTCTTACTTTCGGGGAAACACGGTAGATACAAAACCTAAATATCTGAGGTTTCATAACTTGGACATCAGAATTTCTAGTTGTCTAATGTAGATTTAATATCAGCCCTTTCAGGGAGGATGCTTGGGTACTTCCCAATACTAGAAGGCTTGGGTGCAATGGATGCCAATTTGTCTAATTCAGACCCCTTACAATTCATAACTTGTTACCCTTACAAGAAGAGTTTGACATCAACCGCACTGTATTGAGGATACCCTTCAGGGTACATTAGAGGACAGTGTCAGTTCTTGGGCTGGACAACTTGGTACTATTAATGGCACTGGCCTCTCTAAACAAGAACACGGGTAACTTCTGCAGCTCATCTAAATATTCCATGTTGCAGTATTCCTCTCTAGCGCTTAAACATTAAAGTGCATTTCTACTTTTGCAGTCAAACTTGAGAAAACCTCACTATGTGTTCTCGTTCACACAGCATACCTACAAATATATTTTTTTAAATGATTTCTTACTTTTTGGCTGGTTCTTTGGTGAAGGCCCTTGTGCAGATTCCAATCTACTCTGAGCAAACTGAGCTTCCTCTTTAGTATTTAAGCCTTTTGTTAGGATAGTTTCTGTCTGCGCCCGAGTATGGATATCCGGACCCGCACGGATGTGGAGTTCGGGTGTCCGTATGACAGCGTACGGCCACATCCTCCCATAGGAAGATCAGGCTGCTACAAACAGCACCTTTCCCTCTTGGGAATGGCCCGATATGGGCGTGTGCCCGCAGCATGGATGTGTACGCCCCGAGTTGGCGCAGTGCGAATGAGGCCTTATTGATGCTGTACGTACTATTCACCTGGAGGGCCAGCCTGTTGTTTCCAGTCTTGGGTCTTTCAGGGCTCCTGCAGCTGCAAAGAGCTTTCCATTACAGCCACTCTTCGAGGTATTGCTCTGTGGGTGTATCACTTGCTAGAATTGTTGCCATTTTCAGAAAGGATTTTCATACAGTGGTCTACAAGCACTGTGGATAGAAAAAATTGAGGATACAAGTCCTGTGTGGCAGCGCTCTCCTGAGGGGTGGGGGGTTGTTTTAGAAGAGGGGGTCAGAATTTTTGGTTGTGTGGGGGAGGATGGTGTGGAGGTGGGGGTGGCGTGCGGCTTCAGATCAAAAATGGACCGGGGTGTCCACTTGGTATGGGTGTGAAACAGAAAAAAACAACAGAGTCTGAGGCGCAACTGCCCTTGGAGATTAGGACAGGTGAAGGTATAGTGAGAGTTAAATGGGCTAAGGCCTGCAGGTAAATGCTGCCCGGGAAGCGATTTTTGTTAATATTTTTCCTCCCGCAAGATGATCAACATCAGGGGTGGAGGGAGAAAATAAAAACAAAAACAAAAGAGGTGCACATGAAATGGAGGCAAGTAGAATGGTGTGTGGTGTATATATCAACTCACCGCGAGGTTCTTTAGGAGGTGTAATCATCGACGACGGGATTCCTGTTGGGGGTAGCGTCCGGCAGCCTCTTCCAGGACTGGGTGCAGGGACTTCAGATGCTGGGTCGAGGTGTGATTACATCAGATGTCTGCGTATGGGACGTGCTGCTGGGCTGCTGGACTGGGTGGTGATGGATCGGGTCGTGCTGTTTAGGCGGAGCGTTGGGATGGTGAGGGCAGGATGTCAGCGACGATGGTGTGGTCTCTGGATTGATCCTATAGGCGGCTGGTTTCGGGGTCTTGATTGGAGGTGCTGATGACCGGAGCTGCAAGGGTTCCTTTGCCAATCTGCATTCCCGCTCACCTGGTGAAGAGGCTGATTTTAAACCCCCACAGGTGCGTGCAGCCAATCCCAGGAAAGCCTCTGACAGCTTGGGGGGTGTGGCTTACGTAGGTCCGGATTTACTCTCCATGTTGCCCCAAGGCCAGTTTCCGCAATGCGCCTCCCTCCCAAACCCCACCCCCCCCATGGAGAATGCTAACCAGATAGCGGGGTAACAGGGTTAGTTTGAATTTTTTTATTAACTTTTCTATCACTTATTTTATTTTTTTACTTTTTTACATTTGTATTTATCTTGTCATCTTTTACTTTTTATTATTTTTTAATTCAATTTTTATTACTTATTATTTGTTACTTATTTTTTTTATTTATGTAGTTATTTTTTTATCAAATTAGCCGGGAGACAGAGCCAGCATAGAGGGAGAGAGGTAGGTGCAGGGGAGGGAGGGGGGCGGTGGGGTAGGACGGATAGCCTGCAGTATGATTACAAGTGATCTTGGCGACATCGCCAAGATCACTTGTAATGAAACAAGTGGTTTGCCCGTTCTACAATTAGCCCTGCTTGTGCTAAATGTAGAAAACAAATTACCGCCCGGCGGCCGGAAACTCCATGTTTCGGGCGACGGGAATCCGGCCCTGGGCTTACGCCCTGCTATGCTCACACCATAGCTTGAGCTTGCTTTCGGCGTCCCTGCCGCATCCGTGGGAACCCGTGACGTGGCCGATCCCACGCCCGCGTGGGTGTGTGCGGCCATTCCCGACGTGGACTGTATTCACAGCCAAACCCTACATTCTGGATGCAATATGTGACCTGATACGTCAGATAGCGACAGGCCACTCCCCCACTGCTCGAAATGGCTTATCTGCCTGTATGGGTGTTCGGTTGTCACCTGGCCTATGTGTGTATAGAAGGTATTATATCTGTTCAATTTCTCTGTACATGCATATCTGTCTAGGCGATGCTTGTTATAGACTATGCATTCATCACCTGATTACAACACTTGCAATTTTTTTACTAAGGCGGGACTGTGACGTCAGGACGTCACATGATCACGGCAGACTTTGGGGATTGGCTTATTACCACAGTATGGTGTGTATATATATGTATATGGTTTCACTTGCATTTGCATCACTCATTTTGCCTGATGAAGGGGGTCTGATTAGACCTTGAAACATTGCTTTTTGATGCATTGTGCTATGTGTCATGCGTCACGAAACAGACGCCATTGATTCATCACTTAGAGTGCCGGTGTCTATGTTATTCTACGTCAGGTAAATAGACACCAAACATATCA